ATGGAGTATTTAAGTGCCTAAATAAGGGCTTAGGATGTGTATTTGTACTTCAAAGCCTTACCCTGTGAGCATAGCCAAGAAGCTTTAGTTTTGCCTTCAAATGTACTGTTAATTTTGTTTCAGAAAAAGTAGATGTGTAAGCTTTCTCAGAGTGGATTAGGAACTATTTTAATAACAGAAGTGTCCTTTCCATAGGAAGCTTTCTGTGGCTGTGCCAAAGCAACAAGGATCTGTTTTGTGTCAGTGATCAGAATCCTCATTTTCGTCCTTCTACGGTGCAGCTGCCACCGGAGGCTGAGATGGTGCACTACTCTGCCTGCCAGGATGCCATCTGGGGCTTGGATAGTCTAGGGCAGATATTTATCAGAACACTTTCCTCCAGCTGCCCAACAGGGATGCATTGGACAAAACTGGATCTCTCCCAACTAGGTAGGACATTTTTAGTGAGTAGATTGTCTCTTAAGCGCACCATATTTTCCAGAAGTATCTTTCAGTTTATTGATGTAGAACATAACATTTACTGGATTAAATAGTGCCTACTGACAGGTGATTGTAAAATATCAGGAGCAGATGTGGCTTTCAAAGAGTGTTCTGTTTAGCCCTTTCCTGGAGACAAGAAGATTCCTGTTTGCAAGGTACTTGGTGTGTGTTTAGTGCATCTTGTGTTGGTCAGTCTGAAGTGGCTCTGCCTGACACCGTGCTGTGCAGGGGCTCCAGCAGCTTTAACTAGGCTGGCTCTTATACCTCAGTGCAGTCATAGTCACCTGATCTGGGGCACAAACCTCTGAATTTTATGGCTAAACACATTTTTAACTCCTGCCAAGGAAGAATTATGCTCCAAGAGTGAATCATTCATGAGTGATGCAGCTCATAGCACTCATGTAGAGATTTATAGTGATGTAAACATTCAGCATAATGCTTAGAATGTGATGCTGGTTAACTGCTCTTTTCATTTGCTCAGGTGCTTGACCATGATTTGATCATTGAAATGTAATCACAGTTTGGAGTTTGGCTCTGGGATAATCAAATTATTTGCCACCTTCATAAGTAGTATTCTCATCAGATTTATTTGTTTAATAGTCTGACTGTTAGAACATTCTTATATTGGTGCTAATCTGCACACCTCTTTCAGGTAAAGAGAAAGGAAATTGGGACTGTGCACCATTCTCTCACCATTTTAAAAATAATTCAACTGATTTGCAGTTTTTCCATTTTTGATGGCAGTGTTCATGACTGGTTTGATAACAGACAAGCAATTTTAACTTGAGGTTTAAGGAAAGGCAGACACAGCTGGCAGAGTTTAGGTCTCGTGTACAATTTTAGTGTATAGTTTATAATACCTCCTGGAAAAATTGTAAACCGTGTCTTTTAAAATTAACTTGTTTTTCAGCTGTACACCAGTTATTTTTCAGACCTGATGATTTGGTTTCAAATCACTCATCATACCATACTTTAAACACTGATGCCTTTTACTGACCTACAGGATAGATTTGGCCACTTTGTCCTTCTCATGTTCCTTAGTGTGGTTTGAAACTCTTCTCATGAACCATTGCTTTCTAGCAGTTTAGACAGTAACTGTTTAACTGAGAAAATAAGTAACTTCTAGTCATTGTCTGAAAATCTCAGACGAATTCATACAGGAAATCAGTGTAATTGGTGTTAGCTGCCTGTAATACCTGACCTGTGAACTTCAGCAGTTCAGAAATTCAACCTTTACATTCAGCTGTTCCTGTCAGCTCTGGCACATGGTGGTGGCATAGAAGAGATTTGAGGCCAGGAAATACTGAAACACTCCACTGTACCTGTCACTGTGGGTTAGCACTGAAACGTGAAAATGTTTTAGACTTTTTTTTTCCATTTAATTGCATGTGGTACATCACTGCTTGACAAGGTGCATATCCATGGCTATAATAGAAAAGCCTTTATTTGTTCTAATGAGGCTGAAAGAATTGGAGAGTTATTGTTATTGTGTCAAGTGTATGTTTAAGTTTACTCCAGAAACATTAGGACTGTGACTGCAGAGGGCAGGTGGGGTGGGAGCAACTTTCTCTAAAGTGCAGTTCAGAATTCTGTATGGAAGTGATGGGGTTTACCAGCATTAGGTTGAAATATTCTTATTATGTTGGTAGTATCTTGCCTTTTGCATTATGTACTGGGAGTAGCACCCAGTAGATTATTTTGATTAGCATTCCACTATCACTATCAAGGTTTCTAAACACAGTAGAATGACCTTTAGGTTTTAACAATAAACAATGCTGCTGGTTCATGCTACTTGCTCTAAAACAGTTGGTGAATGTAGTTAACATGACCTTGTCCTAAGATACAAATGGTAGGTGGGAGGAGGGAGAAACCCCAAAACATTTACATAAAGGCTGTGTTTTTGAATATCAAATTGTACTGTAGACCTAAATAATACCAGCTCTGCTGGGTAGGTGATATGTGATTCCATCTTTGAGTGCCTGATGCTTGTCTGGATCAGAGCACTTGGACAGCTGAGGTATCATGTGACAAAGCCATTGCTTTGAGGCATATTTTTTTAGAAGGAATAACAAGTAAGTAAGATTTAAGTAAGATTTTGGCTTTGCAGCTCAAAGTCAAGTCTCTGTCTACAAAAGAAAATTGCTATAGATGTTCTCATCCCAAGCAGTAGAAGTTTTTGTTTGTCATTTTGGTTTTTATATGAAGCTGTCTGGTTAAAGGAAATTTTTGGATGAGATAGGTTGATTTCTATTCCTGTGATCCAGAAAATGAAATAATTTTGGTTAATGAGATCTGTTTACTACAGATAATTAAAAGATAAAGCTATGTTGTCCTGTTGTTTCCTGTTCTTTTCACCAGCAAGCCCTAACAATTGGGAATATTGCATTCTGCAGCAGTAAATACTTTGAACTTGCACTCTGTGGGATAAAATTCCATGCCCCTCTTTAAGGAATGCTGTGTCTGATGCACTTTACAAGGATTTGTTGCCAAATTTCACATCCCTGAAAACAGAGCTGTTACCAAGAATGGGATATCCCAAGCAGCACTGGCATGTTCAGTCAACCAGCAAGGCCTAATTTTAGAGTTTTAGTTTGGAATCTGACCAGAGCATTCCTTCTGTAGTGGATCTGTACTGCTTGGGTCCCACTTTCTCTGGAACTTGTTTTCCATGACTTAGCTTTGTTTTCTCCAACATGGGATGAAAAAAGGAAATCAAATGTTAGATACATTACATCATGTGGCTCTTTTAAAGTTATTTTGAAAGAGTAAGAGTTTCAGTAGACAGTTGACTAGCAATTCTTTTTGGTCTAAAGTACCAGGTTTGCATCTCTACTGTCTTTGCAGGAATTTTGACTAAACCCAAAAACTAACCATGCCAAAATTCCAACACACACTTATTTGGCAGCTTTGTTTTTATGGTGGTGACAGGGTTAAAATACTGCTCCACATTGGAGATTGGTGTAATAAATATGTACAGTGGTGAGTAGAAATCCATTTGAAAATCAGTTCCTTTATTTACAGATATGACACTGGTATGTTAACACTGAAATGCATAACCCATATGCTCTCATATTTTTGAAATGCTGCTGCTGTTAGGAATGTTCTTTGCTGGCTGAGTTACCAGATTGACACCTTTAAAAGTCTCCAGGCATGGCCAGCTACAGAGAAGAGTTCACATTAGGTCATGTGAAAGTTTGTCTAGGCACTGATAACATTTGTCATGGAATGGTTCCCTGCTTGAATTTGGTTATTGGAATAGAGTATTTATAATGTGCTTTAGAAATTGCACTCTCCTGTGACTTTTATTTTTAGGTTTAGAAGAGAAATTTTTCACATATGTACTACCTGTTGGTTTTGTTCATTGTATCCAGCAATTTTTTTTTTATTCTCCCACAAGTTGTATTAACTTCTAATCATTTTTATGTGACTAAAGCTTGTTTAATACAATGAAGTCTAAATACCAGTTGTGATTATTAGCTGAATTTGAAAGGAAAATGCCAGGTTGCTAATAATCTCTTTGTTATTAGGTGGTGTAAAGCTGATCAGCTTGACCTGTGGAAATCAGCATGTTTGGGCCTGTGACACCAATGGTGGCATTTATTTCCGTGTAGGAACTCAACCTCTTAACCCGAGTTTGATGCTTCCTGCCTGGATAATGATTGAGCCACCCATACAGGTAAAATGTAGATTGCAATTCTTTGTAACCCATTGGTTTAGCTCTATGCTAAACCTTAAAACAGTAATCTTAGAATTCATGGGAAACAGTAGAGCCAGGTTTTATAGTAGAGTGTAGCATTGAGCTATGCTGAGTACCCTCAGTGTGCTAAGCAAGGCTGGATGGACAAGCAGCACAGAGCAGTGGGTGTGGGAAGGCTCTGCTCAAGTGGCATGGTGCTGGATGCCTGCCTCCCTTTTCCTTTATCCTCACCCTTGTGAGTCTGGGATGCTTGTTAGGGTGCTGGGCCTGAATTCAGGGACTTTCCTTGTCATGCAGTGCTTTGTAAGCATGCAGTACAACTGCAGCTCTTTTCCCTTGTTACCAGAATGGGCAAACTTTATATCCTTTCTACCTGCCAGCTGGGAGGGTCAGAGCTGAAAGAAGCCTCCTAATGTAACATGGAAGCATATTTGGAAAATATAGAAAACTGACAAAATCTGTTTCTCCAGTGTCTGTTTGTTGTTTGGTTTTTAGTTGTTTTCTTTTTAAATCTCTCTTTAACCACAGTGCTTGCTTTCATTGCTGCTCTAATACTTTGCAAGTTAATCTATGAAATGGGAGTAATTTCTGTTGTGGGTTGAGACTGCTGTAATGGAGCTGACCTCTGACTACTGATTTCATTCTTTACTCCTTGGCACGAAATGGCTTGAACTGAACTGTCTGCTGGTCTAGCACAGTAACACTGGATGTGTTTGCATACTTGATGGACATTCTGTGGTGTTGCAGCATTTCTCTTAAAGATTTTGAAATGTGTGATACTTTCAAAAGTACACATTAAGAAACAGAAGTGAATCTGTGGCAGTGGAGTTGCAATCATTTATTTGGCTTTTACATAATTTGCTTTTAGTTCTGCTTATCTCTTATCAGCCAGTTGTTGGCTCATGTGTATCTCAGAGTGTAACAGCAAAGAAGGGCAGGGGAACAGGGAAATGAAAACTGCAGCTATGCATCCCATCAAATAGCACAGCACTGGTTAGATGACTAATTCTGTACATTTTGTAATGTGGTTCTGGAGAAATGGTAGCTTGTTTTGCAGAATAGCAAGGCAGACTGATAAATAGGTGCCAGTATCAGTTGCAAAAAGGACTTGGTTCCAGAGCTTGTTCTTGATGTGCTGCAAGTGGGTCTTTGTGATGTAACACCTTGTCCCTGCTAGCAAGGGGGTAGGGCAGCAGCAGGATGAGACTGAAGATGTCAGCGATGATGTCTCCCATAAAGGCAGTATTCTTAAAAAAAAAGAGGAAGAAACATTCCATTTAAACTGAGTTTAACAAGAGACAGAGAATTAAACTTGTGTACTATCTTCTTACCAAAGATCTATCCAGGAGAATAGCCCAAAAAGCTGTTTCTCTATGCTGATACTATTTTCTCTGTACTAGGTGGTTCTCTACTCCTCCACTGAAGTAGATTAAACTACTCAATACAAAGGTGTTTACAAGAATTGGGATTTGCTATGGCTCATGATTTGGCAGTGACTTCCTTAAGTAAAAAGTGGACAAGGTTGAAAATCAAATTATTTCCCATAATCTTATGAACAAAGCTGGATGATGTTGCCTTCCAAAAATTATAACCTTCTGATACCCAGAGCAGTGTCATTCCCTTTCCTGTTATCTTGCCAACTCCTGACATGGCAAATTTAATGGGTCAATATAAAGAGGCAAGAATTCAAACATTGCTTGCAGAGACGATGAAAACTCACGGCTTACATGCTTGTTAAAAAAAGCATTCCAGCATGTTAAAAAAAGTCATTAAATGAGCAGCCATTCATGCTTTAGCAGAGGCTTAATGCAAAATGAGAAAATAAGTGAACTTTAAAAGTATTTTCAAATACAACTTGATGTCTGAAGAGTGAACTATTAAGTGAACAATATTTGTTTATTAGGAACACCTTACTGTTCTGTCCCTTAATTGACTTGGACACAGTTCATGCTGCTTTGCTCTTATATTCAGACCAACAGAAATACTGTAAGAAGTATTTCTGTGAATGATTCAGCCATTTTCTGTTTGAAGAAGGAAATCAAAATTGCTTTTCACTTGCTCCAAGTACAGGAGCACTCTCAAATAACGTAATTTAAAACCAGCTATGGATATTTCATTCCCTAGTAAATGTCAGAGCCAATATGACTTGGCTGTCCCAGATCTCATGACTCAGGAGCAGCTTGGGAGCAGCTGCAGACTCTGCTTTTATGGTGTCACTTCTCCTTAAAGGAGTGCTGCAGTTGCACAGCATTCATCTTTGCAGCACTTCACAAAGGTGTTCAGAGACTGCAGTTTTGATGAGATTTTGCTCATGCTAAAATGAGTGAATATCATTTAAGTTCAGTCTTTGACTTTGTGATGCTGTATTTTTTCTTAAATCAAGGCTAAACCCATTCTTGTTTGTAACTCTTCTCTCTGTACCTCCTTACTGAAGCATCTCTTGAGATGAAGAAAACACTATTTGTTCTCTGCCCTCCTTCTTTATCCAGTACTTCAGAAGTGGTTGATAACATCATTAGAGTATCTTGAGCAGTAGTACTTTATATATAGCTGGTTTCTGTGATTCATCAATTTGGTTCTGCAGTCTTAGAAGTAAAATAATTATGTAGTTAAGCAGCTTTTTGAAAGCTGTTTCAAGGACATTGACAAAACAAATCAAAATGCTTTGATGAAATTATTTTAGACCAGGAAATTGAAAATGTTTTTCCATTCTATTGTTAGCATGTAGGACAAAACTATCATCTGTTGCAACACATCTCAAAATACGTCCATATTTTTACATACATAAAAATTTAATTTTAAAAAAAGCAGGAAATACAAATATTATTTATATAGATAATATAGAGTATCTTTTTATATGTTTGTATATTTACTAGGATTTAACGCTTTTCCAATATCTGGCCTAAAGGAAAAATAACTAAAAATAAAATAGAAAATTAGTATAGACTGTAAGACTAATTTAGATTATTAAAGGGTAGAGCTTGATCAAAAGGTAAAAGTCTTTAAATTGCTTTCAAAGGTCCCTCCAAGTTGAACGGTTTGAAAATAATTCTTTGAACATTTCAGCTTTGATTTCTGGTACCTTCTGAAAAAGACGCTGAGACAAAAATCTGATCTTGAGAAACTCTTGCTTCCCACAGTTTAAAAACTGGCTTTAAAACCTTCTCAGATTTACATCGAGGCATCTATCAGATAAACAACTTTATGTGACCAAATTAAAGGAAACAGAATAAATATTTGTAATGAGTGACTAATCATCTAATCATTGTAGATAATCAGTCTTACTCTAAAAATAGATTGAGACATTTTTATTGTCACTTCTTTAATTGCTGCTCTTTGTTAATTTGTAACCAAATTTCATAGAGAATAGAATTGAAAAAGTGATACTATTAAATCCAGAGGTCTGTTTAAATATTCTCATAGCTTGTCTGAGCTACAAAGTACAAGGGGTTTGTTTAGGGAAACATTTGGTTGCTGCATAAAGCTTTAGATGATCATTTGTAGTTCTCAGCAGACGAGCACTGCTTGACTTAGTTTGCCATAAAAGTGTCACCTGCATTTTGTGTGCTTCAAGTTAGAGAAACTTTTTATTTGCTGCTCTTCCCATAAACAGCCTGGTAATTGTGTCTCTGTACTTTAAGCTTGATATCATAGGTAAGAGAAATTCTTACAGGTAGTAGAAATTCTTATTGACTAAGGAGGAGCTATTTTTTTCTTGCACACAGACTTCCAAAAAATAAATTAAGGCTTTTCATGCTTTTGCAGTCATTCAAAAATTATTAAAACTATGAAGCAAGTGGTAGTCCAAAAATGCTATTTAAAATGTAGGCAAATTATCTGTAATTCTGAAAAATCACTACAGGATAGATTTAAGTTCTTTTCAATACCTCACATTGAACATATGTCAAGAAAAGCTAAGGTGTTGGTTGTGCCTTACAGATGAGTGTTGACTTGGTAGAAATGGTTATCATCATCATCATCTTTGTTTTGTTTCCTTTATTTAGATAAAATTTTGCTTACCTTATAGAACACTTATTTTGGATCTGGAGACTTTGTTCTGCATCTGCCTTGATGCAGAACAAAGTTCTGCATTTCTCAGTGAGATTTCTGTTGTTATTAAGGCCAATTCTGCATTAAGTGGTACTTAGAGGAGGAAGTGGTGAGCAGTCCTCAAGATCAGATTTTGCCATTAAGCTGAAATGCAGGAAGGGTTTGTTTGAAATGATCTTGAAGAATTGAATATTTTGAGGGAAAGGAAATTTTTCTGTTGAAAATGCTTTATAGTTTTTACTTCAGAATCATCATCTATTTCTGAACATCCTTGTCATGGAAGTCTCTGTTCTTTCCAATGCAGTATTCACATGTCTGTGCTTTCCAAGTCCAGTGGTTTTCACTAGCACAGACCAGCTTGCATTTCTCAGCCATTGCACAGACATCTTCTGAGTTACCATGAGTTCTGCTTTGGAGTGCTAAGATGAGATTCAGAGGAAGGATCTTTAATTAACCCAAGTCTGCTTAGGTTGGAGAAGTAATACAGTCATTAGGCCTGGTTCTCTCTAGACCAGACTAACTAGTCTGTTGTTCTGTATATCTTCACTCATGTGAGGCCTCTGAAGACATTAATAGGGAGATGATTTTCCTGGAGGACTGCACTTTTCAAGATGATGTAAAAAGCTGTTTGGCAGTAGTAAGAGCAGCTGTCTCAAGGTGGGTTGCAAATAAGTACAGGAGATCAAAGCTTCTGCAGCTGTGTCTTTTGTTTAGCTGATTTAGAATGCCAGAATGTTTAAGTTCAAGTCTGTGCTATTCTTCACAGGCCATGCCTATCTTAAGTAATTGTAAAGTTACATAAAAGGTGCTTTTAGAGGCTGAAAAAATGCAATTTCAGCATTTGTTCTGGAGTTGCCTCACGCTGATTCCATTGCTGAGTGTAGTGCTTATTATCTTCCTCCTTGTTGCTAGTTAAGAAAACTGCTGGCTCTGTATTTCACTGTAGTTTGCTGCTTTGGAGTTTTAGCCCTCTGATGTTGTTTTAGGGCCCAGCTATCGCCGTGTTCAGAAAAGCGGCGCGTGGCCTGGCCTGGGAGATAACAATTGTTATCAGCACCAGAAGCTTCAGGTCGCAGAAAGTGCCCAGTGAGCAGTACAGCCAGAAATTCAGTAGGCAGTCCTCCTGGGTCCTTCTGAAATGTGATCTCCAGGTGGTGTATTTGCTTTTTGACAAGACTGGCTTACATTTAAAACAGCAATTGTGGGAGGAGCCTTCAGTTGAGAGAACCTTCAGTTTTCATACTTCAGTTTGGTCATTATTTGGAACTTCCTCCTACCTGAAACTCTTCCAATATTCCCATATTTTGGTTACTTAACACAGAATTAGATATTTAATTATTCTTCAGAGAGATGAAGAAATATATTTAACATTCAGTTGGGCAAATAAAGTAACCACAACTATCATTAAGTTTTGACCATTTTTCAGGGTTATTCTATTCAAAAATAAAAGCACCATGGTACAAAAATTCATGGGTAGAGGATGATCATCATGATTTAGCAGGTATAGGCTGTGGTAGCACAGAGGAAGGAGACACCCTGGGATATCTGCTGGACACATCAGACCCTTTGACCTTGAATTAGGAGCTTGAAGACCCTTCCCTATAACCCCCAAAAATGCTTTCTCTCCTTGGTAAGGTATTTAAGTTTGAAAAACTAAAGAGGGGCACTTCATAGGCATAGGCTGCATCTGAGGGTGTTTCACTGATGCTCATTAAAAGTGTATTTATAAGAAAATAAAAGCCTTGGTTACTCAGGTTTGCTTATACAAGGTTTTTATTACCTAGTGTTAAATTATGTTCTGTTTCCTGGGAATTTGCGCTTAGTGTTTACTTAACGCACATTCCTGTAAATAATTAATTTTTATTTTCCTAACAGTTCAGTTCTTCAAAATGTTATTAAAAATACCGGTAGGGGTAATTACAGAGGGCTTATCTCCTACATTACAGTTTATAATCTTAGTTATAAAACAGTGTGACCAGAATACAGTTGGGCAAACCTGAGTAGGCCTGGAGTTTGTATGGTCTCTAAAGTGAAATTTTAATTATTTATTTTTTTAATTGCTTCTAAGGAGCAGTTGTATAAAGTATTTTTAAAGTATTTTGCTTCTGTTGAAAACATGTTGAGTAGTTCCATGGGTTTGGTTTGATCTTTTCTGTGATTCAATACCATGTGTTGTTGTCTTTCCCATGTTTCTGCAAGAAAAAAACATTGGAATAAAAAATTTAGAGCTAGCAGAAGGGAGAGGTCAAGGGATTTCCTCCTTGGCTTTGCTTTGTCTTCCAGATTGTGCTAATCATGGACAGCACAGTAGATACCTGCTTGGTTGGAAATACCCATCCAAGGCCTTTGTCCCTTTTATCCAGTGGGGGCAGAAAGTTGGGCAAAGGGTCCTGTTGCTGTTCTGAGGCTTCCAAGGAAAATAATGCTCCAGTTTTACAGACAATAAATAGTTATGTTTTTCTGGCAATTTAATGCCAGGTTTTCTGAAGAACATGTGGCATGAAGGAAGACCAAACATAGATTCATCTTTCCTACTCCTGTATAATGCCTTGATCTTCTCTGCAGAGAAAAAAGCACTTAATTTAGCAAGCAAATGCTGAAAAGGCTTTATAACCTTCATTCAAATGGACCTCAGAAAATAATATGTAAATAGGCCTTTCCTGGGGGAGAGTATCTCTAAGTTGCATTCTTCGCTATCCTCATTAGGAGGGTCTGGATGCTGTTAGTCATGAAAATAGTCAGATTACTCTGATGCACTCATAATACTCAAGAGTGTGAGAAGTATCCCTGATGTGACCTTCTTACAGTCTGGCCTGGACCAGCTGAAGGTGTTTCTGCTTTGTCTTTGGAAGGCAAGGAGAACATTTGTGCTGAATGGAGCCACCAACCTGTTACAAAAAGGATTGGGCTTGGCCAGACTGATAATGTTCTGTTTAGTCTTCCTTATCCTGCATATTTGCAGCAGAACAGAGATAATGGAGGTTTGCTGGTACATGGACTCTGTGCTCCTGAAAAGTGACGTGGAAAATGTTCTGGTGCCTTTTTTGTGTGTGTGTGCTTGTCCTTTCTTCCTTGACAGGGAACTTTAACCATTTGGGTTCAGCTGTGACTAATAAGAGAAAACTTTTGAGTAGTATGTAGGGGAGACTGGGTGGAGAAATGTGTTTGTTTTTACTTTGGATTTAGTTTGATACTATTACCAATAAGTTAAATTCTTACACTGAAGTTTACTTCTCTGTGGTGTGCAAAAGAGAGGAAGTAACTTGCACAGAATTATAAAGCTAATGGACAACTTAAATATGTTTAGCATAGACATTGTTTCTTGATATAATTTAACAATTTGCCAGTTATGTGATTCCTTCAAGTTTATTTCATTTTATCAACACTGTTTTCACAACAGACATGTGGCAAGCTGGTTTTCTTTGTTTTTATTTGTAGCAGAGGACAGACATATCCACAGCTCTCAGTATATTGCTTTTATGTTGAAAAGGACGTAGCTGATAGTGTTGCAGTCCATGATCCTGGTGGAAATTCTTCATATCAAAAGACAGGGAGTGACTGGGATGTTTGCAGGATGGGGAATCTGCATTCAGATCTGACTGGCTAAAACAGTCAGACTTGTGAGATTTTTAGAGTTTAGAAATGTTTGGCACCCCAAGTAATAGAAAAACAACATTCTGCAATTTTTTATCAAATAGCACTGGATCCATGAATGATCCATCACAGGTTGATCTCTCACAATGCTGTTCATATTGTGGATAAATGTATAAACAGAATTTGGTGTATCAGAGCAGGAAGGCTGAGAAACTGCTGCCAGGTTCTTTAAAATTCCAGATTCTCCAGTAAATTACAAATAGGACATGTTTCACAGTCAAGGTATATAAATCTCATGAATGCTGTTGGAAGTTAAACCAGCTGGGTAAAGGCTACGCAGAAATAATTTATCAATTTTCATGGTTATCAGTCTCTAAAATGTTATCAGCAGATTTATGAATTTGCAGAGATATCTCTCTTTAGTGCTATGAGAGAACTCTATTTAACCTTTAGCTGCAGCTGTAGAGATTTTCTTGTTATATAACTTATAAAATACTTAAAGCATGCTTATGGTAATTAAAACTTAGTGAAAATTGGATATATCTGAGATAATAACAGCATGATTGTTCTAAGAAAATAGTTCATTATGTCAAGAAAATTTAAAATTAATTTAATCCACCTTACTGTGGTAGCCCTGAGAGTGGCTTCTTGTTGTAGATGGGTAAAAAATAGTCCAGAAGTCAAACCTTTGCATCAAGCTCTAAGAATTGCCTGTATTTGTTTCCAAACAAATTTCCTGGTTTGTGCCAAAAGCTGCTGCATATAATGATGTCACTCTGTGTCCTGTCAGCTGTGTCCTTTCCTGGCTGTTCCACAGCAGAAAGCTGAGGGGTGGAGGAATTGCCTGGATCCTTTGCAGTAGTAGTAGGAGAGTTGTTTTATTGATGTGAGGTTATCAGAAATTGCTGAGTAGCCTGAAGAAGAGAAGCTGGAAGTGAAATACCCAGAGGGGCAGGGAAACTGAAGGATGAAGTGAGCCCACTTAGAAAAGCAAAGAATGAGAAGGCTATTTGGCCAAGCTTTTAAACACATTTTGAATTTGATGATTGGATTTGTTTCTGAAATGTGTTGGTGGTGCAGAATAGGGTAGAAGTAATTGCTTTGATTACACTTGAGCCTGCAGTGGTGTCAGGAGCAATTTAGCTGAGATTCATACAACAACTTTTGTGGCTCTCCTTTTGGGTGTTTCCTCTGCTTTTGTTAGCTTCCACTGCCTCTAAATGTGTAATAATGCAGAGGCTTAGGTAGCAGGTTTAAACAGTAAGTGTTTTTGGAGGGAAATACTCCTCCAGCTCTTTCTCAGAGAATTCTCTTCTAGAGAGAATGACAGTAGAAGAGAGGCTTGGGATCCTGCCATATGAGAGTGGGGAGCAAGGTGCACAAATCTCAACAGTTCAGCAACAAAATTCCACCAAGGTGTCAGGCACAGTTTGGGACAGACCCTGGTTGGAACATGAAGTGTATTGCAGAGCATAGACAGACACACTGCCAGTCTGTGGTTGTGAGGGATATGGGGGAAAGGTGACAGACAGTCCTAGATCTGGGAAAGAGGTGGCTATTTAGAAGAATGTGGTAAGAAGGAGATAAGTGGATTAAAAAAAATGAAATATAAAAAAAAAAGATGAAAGGCAGAGGTCTCCATGCAATACTCCAGCCTGCACAAGTTGATAACTGCCCAGCTCCCTTGTGTGAAAACTTGGGACTGCAGGAGTGTGGTGAGGGATGAGATGGAGCAGGGAGCTGCCCTGGAGGGATGTGAGCAGGGACAGGGGGGAGTGAGAGCCAAGGGGGCTGCAGAAAGAAGCAAATGAAAAATGGAGGGGAGAAATGGAAACTGGGCCAGGAGTAAGGATCACTTCCAGAAAAGGAGCACAAGTCCAAATGGGAAAATCATGTGGGATTTTGGGGTGTTTTGTTTTTAGTGTGGTTTGGGCATTTGATGGGTTGGTTTTGGATATGTTTGGAGATTTTTTTTGGTGTGGTTTGTTGTTTTGGGGTTGGGTTTGTTTTTGGTTGTTGTTTTGTTTTTTGGGGTTTTTTTGTTGGTTGAGATTTTTGTTCAAGACAGTAGTTTAATACCAATCTGAAAATAACTAAGCAGCTGTGTATTCTATGTAGTCAGTGCTTTTCAAGACAATTAGTGGCTTTACTTTTAAGTGTTCAAACTGCAGCCACTTGTGAATTTACTGTGACCACAGGTAAACACTTGATCAAGGCTCTACCAGCCTCAAGCTTCCAACAAAGGGCAAATACCTAATGAGAGGAAAAACATGAGAAGATAGTCTGTCAGGGGCCTTGAAACCTAAACAGACAGGATTGATTTGGTGATGCAAGTCAGATTTGGTTGTAGCTTGGTCAGACCCAAGTCAGCACCAACATTTTAAAAGCAAAACCAAAGCAGGGAACTGTTATGTACACAGAAGGCCCATCTGGGACTGGGCTGTGTGCTTGTATATACATGCAGATCATGCTTCTGTATCCCTTGGTTTATACATACAGAGAGCTACTTGCTCTTCTATTTAGTACTCTGGAATTTCAGCTTATGCCCGTGAGGCTAAAGCAGGGCATGCAGTGCTGCTTGGTGAGATGATGTATTTCAGACATCATACTGTCTTCTGCAGTGCCTTTACTGGGCTGGTGTGGAGAAAAACTTTTTTTTCTTTGATATCCATG